GTACAGGGTTTCCGAGGCTGTACATCTTTACGGGAACAGAAAGCCTCATTTTTTTTCCCCGCAGAAAAGCTGGTAGTTTTGAACTGCTGACCCTGAGGGTTGCAGCCCGATTCGTAACCGCTACGCTACCAGAGCTCCTTAGTTGTTGGAGTTAGGAGCTTTTAAAAGCAGCTTTTGTCATGAAATGCCATTTTTACTGGAAACAATCGTTACTTCCGAGACATTTTCTTGGGGGGACATGAATGAAATGAGCCTTTCATTTCAAAGAAAACAATTGCCAGTATTAATTGCCAATGATAAATTTTAAGCTTTCAAGCCAAAAACTGGACATTTGGACAACTTGTATCTCACACTGTGCATTTGTTGTTGTTGTTAAGTGCTATCAAATCGGTTCCAACTCACAGTGACCCAATGCACAGCAGAAGGAAACACTTCCCAGAGTCCTCTGCAGTCTTTCTTATGTTTGAGTCCATTGTTGTAGCCACTCTATCAATCTGTTTCATTGAGGGACTTTTTCTTTTTCATGGGGTCTCTACTTGAATGGAGACACAGCGAAAAAGAGGGAGACTCCATCAAGGTAGGTCGGTACAGTGGCAGTAGCGGTAGACTCAATTGTAGCCACAATTGTGGGAATGCTGCAGGACGGGTGGTGGTTTGTTCTATTGGACATAAGATTGCTGTAAGTTGGAACTGACTCAATGGCACTGAAGAACAGCTGCTTTGCCAGGCATGGTGTCTTTCTTCAAGGACTGGTCCCTCTTGACAACATGTCCAAAGTACATGAGATGACGTCTCACCTTCCTCCCTTCTAAGGAGCATTCCGCCTGTACTTCTTCCAAGACAGATGATTACATTCTTCTGGCCATCCATGGACATTTGATAGCTTCCTGATACTAGAAACACTTTATTGATAAGATTGGTGGTGACATTAGTCAGATATGCTTTTAATAAAATACATGTTGTGAAATATATCAATGATCCAATCTTTTCCTGTATAAGAGGGCTTCAAAAAAATTGTGAAAAAATAGAATTAAGAGATAATGGAATTTTCCCATGAACTTTTTGAAGTCTTGTATATGATGTCACAGAATCTTTTATGAGTAAAGCTGTTCAAAAGGCAAGATAGACCAAAAGATTTGAACGTAGCAGTCTGAAAAGTGCAGAGTTTTAGAGTCCACATTGCGACTAACCTTTAAGAGACTTCACCTGTCAGATTTTAGTGTAGTATCCAAGAAGAGTCTCCACAATGACCTTGAAACATCTGTTAAAATACTCCCTCTCTTTTCCAACTACATATGGGTATGGGACTGGATTTTATTTGCACACTTCAAAGCAAAACAAAATGTTTATATTAACAGATTGTATTCCAGGCATCATGTATTCCAGTGCAAAAACAGTGCCACTCTTCCAGCTCTTCTTTTTGCTTTAGAAAATATAGTGAGTTTTCAAGCACATATATTATTTTAATATGCAACAAGTTGATTGTTATATCAAAATGAATAATATTTTCAAACATGTCTGCTCTGTTCTCTACTATGGTAAATATGGATTTACCATAGTAGAGAGATAAAGATGAGGCTTTCTGTGCCCAGGAAGACTTAAATAAAGCCATGAAACCCTGTATAGGGCCGCGATGAGTCGGAACTGACTCGATGCCACTTAACAGCAAATACAGATGGAACGTGTGTCAACAAAAACTCTTTGGGCTCAATCATTTTTAAGGCAGTACAAGGACCCTGAGGTTCAAAGGTGTGAGAGCCAGTGCACTTGAGAGCATTCCTCCACTGAGCCAGAGATGGTGGGATCCAGAATCTTGTCATAGAGTTGTTGTTGTAGTTAAGTGCCGTCGAGTCGGTTCCGACCCATAGCGACCCTGTACAGGGTTTCCGAGGGAGTGATTTTCAGAGATAGGAAGCAAGAAAAAGATGCGTGCAGTACATGAAGAGTGCAGACTGCTGTGATGGGCGATGGAAAGCCCCCCTGGCTGCGGTTATTAGCTCACCTCGTTCTTCCTTACCTGTGGCCTCTTGCCAGGTCAGTGCTTGTAACGATCCTGTAACTTCAGCCTTCCATGTGACTGAAGGGAACTGGGAGTCTTTGACAGGTGGATTGTGAGCCCAGTGCAGCCCAGGCATTTGATTAGCGAGGGCTGAAACTTCGTGGTGAAGCAGGTTCTTTAGGTCTGTCAGCTTCCTGGTATGTACAGATTTTTACCACCTGCTTCATTTCTCACCACTGACTCCCATTTCAGATCCAGAAACAAGTGCCACCGGACTCTATCATGTGCAGTAGTGTACAGCATCATATTGAAGTTCAAATGTGTGTTTGAAAAAATGCATTTTGCACTGTAGAATACGAAAGATCCATTTACTGAGTGGTTCAGACCCACCAGCTGCCCCCCAGAAACCCTATGCAGGATTGCTAAGAGTCAGAACTGACTCAATGGCACTTACCAACAACAACTTTGTTTAAATTTCAAAACTGTTTCCACATGTTCTTTGCAATACCTAGTTATCAAGTTTCCTTCTTCTTTGTAAGCACCTTTATGTTTATATAGTGATGTGAAGCCACCAATCAATACTAGATTGTTCTGAGGGGGTATTGTTGTTCTGTCAAGTTGGTTCCAACTCATAGTGACCCTATATAGGGTTTTCAAGGAGTAGCTGGTGGATTTGAACCATTGACCTTGTAGTTAGCAGTCCAGTGCTTATCCTATATTGCCACATCAGAGTTGCTATAAAGCTAATGATGCCTGCCTTTCGGAGCCCCTCATTTGTATTGGTCTCTTTTGTATTTGTTATTTTGAGTTCTTTTTCTGTTTTAAAAAAGACTTCCAAAGTTGTAAAGCCTCAGGCTTCAAGACACTTAGTATTGAGGGGTGCTATATAATGATCTTGGAGTCCTGGTGTGGTGCTGTAGGATAAGCATTAGGCTGCAAGGCCAGTTGGAATCCCAAGATTGGTGGTTTAGACTCACCAGCCTCTCCTCGGAAACCCTATACAGGGTCACTATGAGTCGGAACCGACTTGACAGCACTTAACCAAAACAAGACCCCCATCAGAACAGCAAGCCATGTGGCAGCCCCTCAGAACAATCTAGTATTGATTGGTGGCTTCACATCACTACATAGACCATAAAGGCCCTTACTATGGACAAAGAAGAAGAAAACTTGCTAACTTGACGGTGTGTAACGACATTGAATGATAACAATGATTCTAAGGGTGGTGCCCGACCAGGCAGCGTTTCATTTGGTTGTACACAGGGTCACAGTGAAGTGGAATCGACTCAGGGCACCTAACAGCCATGACCACAGTGTAAGGGTCTTGGGGATCTAGGAGTTATGCTCTGAAGACAGTGCTGGATGGTTATAAGGCAGGTGTAAGGACAGGTACAGGGAAGGGAGTAGTCAGTCATACGACTGGAAAAAGTTTGCAGTATTGTTTACAGGAGGTTTACTTAGATAATTATTAGTTTAACATATAGTGGTGGTGGTGGTATGCCATCGAGTCAGTTCCAAGTCATAGCAACCCTGTATCAGGTTTCCAAGGTTGTAAGTCTTTACCAGAGTGGAAAGCTTCATCTTTTTCCTATGGAGTGACTGGTAGATTTGAACTGCTTACCTGGCAGTTAGCAGCCCAGCTCCTACTTTACTATGCAACTAGCACTCCTTTAATAGATAGGAGGGCTCACTTAAATTTAAAATAATCTAGAAAACACATTTTATTCTACCTTACAGTACACCTAGCACCAATCACAGGCTTTCCTTGTTTTGTGTGTTGAGATAAACAGTGAGTCTCACTCTGTCTTGGTATCTTTTTTGGTCCAAGTTATCACTGAAGCACTTGAAGAGAGGTTAGCAATATTTGTACTTATTAGACCCTCAGGCTCTATACCCAAGAGCCAGACCACTACCATGGAGTCCACCCCGACTCATGGTGACTCTGAGACAGAATACAATTGTTCCTTTGGGCTTTGGACACTGTCAGTCTTTATGGGAACAGACAGTCTCATCTGTCTCTCAGGGAGCAGCTGGTGGGTTTGAACTGCCGACTTTGAAGTTAGCACCCCAGCATTTAATCCACTAGTGTACCAGGGCTCCTTCAGCCTATAGGGGAATGATTAATTCAAGCCTCAGAACACACAAATAGTGTACCAAGTCTTAGGCCTTTTCTTTCTGAACCTTTCAGCCTTTTTCGACCAAGAGACTTCTACTGTTTTCTTTCCCAATATTTATAACGCAGCTCTGCTAACAGCAACAGTTGTTGCAGGAGCAGCATAGCACAGTGCTAGCTGCTGTACCAACATTCTCTCCCTGAGGGTCGATAGTGTTACCCGTGAGGAATCAGGCTGAGAGAAGTTACTTCACTTGGTGAAGGCCACACAGCATAGCTAGTGATGTTTGTTGCCAATACCTTTATTTGTTTCATCTTCTGTCAGCCAGATATCTTGGCATGAGAATCTGAGAACATCCCCCAAACAAAAAATACAAATGTCATACAGCCTAGCAGCTCTTTAGTGTTTGGTGAATTCCCTTCAATCCCTGGGGATTCTTTTGGTGTTTCTGTGGCCTGTAGGTAAGTAAAAGGAGTTCTGGCAGTGTAGTGGTTACTAATCGGCCTGCTAACCTCAGAATCAGCAGTTCAAAACTACCAGCTGTTTTGCGGAAAAAAGATAAGGCTTTCTGCTCCCATAAAGATTTACAGCCTTGGAAATCCTATACAGAGTCGCTTGAGTTGGAACCGACTCCATGGCACATAACCACCACCACCATGTTGTTGTTATTGTTAAGTGCCGTTGAGTCGGATCCGACCCATAGCGACCACCACCCCCCTAGGCAAGTAAATGTGGTCAGTATTGTTTCATTCCTGGTTGGGGCATGAGGACCCACGCACTTGGCCCATGCTGGCACTTAAAGAAACTCATGAGCAAATGGCCTACATGTGGTGCTATCTTTTGTGGGCCTGGCTGTTGTAACACTGATTTCTTTATGCCTGGCCTAGGTACTTGGCTCGAGTAGGGGATCTGGAAGCTACTGACACCAAAGATCCAAATCTGAATTACGGACTTGTTGTGGACTGTGGCAGCAGTGGTTCGCGGATTTTTGTTTATTTCTGGCCAAGACATAATGGGAACCCACATGATTTGCTGGACATCAAACAGATGAGAGACCGCAACAGTCAACCAGTGGTGAAAAAAATCAAGCCAGGTACTCCTCAGGTCCTTGTTGCTCTCTCTCTTACCTCCTGTAGGTCTGAGGAAGGAGGGAAGAGAAGCGGAGGAGAGAAAGCTAGCCTTTTCTTCTTGGAATTCTGGGGAATGGGAAGGACGTCTCATTCGTTGGTTACTGTTCCCCTCCTCTCAAGTAAATAAGTATTTATGACCTTTCTGAAGCAGAACCTTGTAGAGTTGAGTCTTCTTAGTTTGCGTGATCTGCTTTTTCAAGAATGTCTTTTCTTTCACTTCAGGAATCTCCGCAATGGCAGACACTCCAGAGCATGCCAGCGATTACCTCCGTCCGCTGCTGAGCTTTGCTGCTGCTCACGTGCCTGTGGAGAAGCACCAGGAGACCCCCCTTTACATCCTCTGCACAGCAGGCATGAGGCTTCTCCCCGAGAGGTGAGCTCTGCAGGGCCCGGGAATGGGAAGGCCACTTCCACTTCTCTTCCTTTGGGGTTCCCTGGTCTGAAGGTGGGTGTGGGCCCACCATGCTGAGTTGACAGGTGGAGCCAGAAGCTTCCTAGGTCAAAAGTGTAACAGAGTCACTCACATAGCCAAGTATTGCCTCAGTCAGTCAGTCCATCCTTCATACCTTCATGCTGGAGTGACTCTGAGATGGCTGCAGTGATTCTTTTTATTGAGGGTTGGGACCGGTGATGATGGTGACACATTGAGCGATAGAGGGGACATAATTACAGAAGGGCAGTAGGAGGATTGTTTGAAGGACTGAGCACTTTGGGGCTAGGTGTGGTGCTGTGGGAAAAGCACAGGGCTGCTAGCCCAGGGCTGACGGTTCAAACCCATCAGCTGCTCCTTGGACACCAATACAAGGTCACTGTGAGTTGTAACTGACTGGATGGTACTTCAGAACAACAGCAGGAGGACTCTGTAGGAACACTTCAGACCTTTGGAATTTGCCTGGTGTCTAGTGATGGTTGGTGAGTCCCTTCCTTTTCCTGCTGGTTGGAAGGCTGCTGCAAAGCTCAGTCCCCACTAGTTTTGGTCAGGTTTCTCAGCACCAGGCTGTGCACTTGTCCTTGGCATTTCAGCATCTGGCCACCTGATGCCTCTTCTTTCACTGGAAGAGGACGAGGCGGCTATCCGTAGACCTCTCCTTGTGACTGCACCACTTGACCATAATAAATGCAGCCCTCAATACTTATTATGGAATCCTGGTGTGGCGCTGTGGGCTAATGCATCAGACTGCAAAGTCGTTTGAACTGCAAGGTCGGTGGTTCAAGCTCACCAGCTGCTTCTTGGAAACCCTATACAGGGTCGCTATGGGTTGGAATTGACTCAATGACACTTAACAACAACAACATACTTCTTATGGTCAGGGGTGCGGTGGCCTTAACTCTAGAATTCATCCTCCTGGAATATTCATAGACTCAAGACACCAATAAGACATCAACGATTTCTTATTAGCTTCAACATTTTTCCTTGGGAAATAGCGGTTATCTTTTCCACAGTTTAGTTTTGTATACATGGCCTTGCTTTCCTTAAAACAGCAACATGAAACTCATCCTTACAGGTAGGGCTCCAGGCTTCTTGTGAAAAGTCAGACAGTCCACATCAGTGCTTTAAATGGACTTCCTTTCATTCCATTTAGACACATAGTTGCTGGCTTCTGCCTGGGTTACTGTTGAGAAGCAGATTACTAACATGAGGACCTTCTAGGTCCATGTTTACTTCCCCATACATCTTGGTGATTCTAAAATTTTTGGTTTGATTTTGCATATTTTTAAAACCAAACCTTAGAAATTTAACAGCAGCAACTTAACACTGTTTAAATTGAAGCAGCAACTTACCACTATTAAAGGAAAGCTTAAAAGTGAAACAGACAAGCAAAACACCCCACTGTAACCCTGCTGTCCTCATAAAATTGTTTTCCTTTGGTCATACTCTCTTCTCTTGTCTACAAACTGATGAAATGGTCATCATTCAGTGCATACTCCATCTAGCATTTCTTGTTCTTGGCATACGTAACATTCACATCGCTCAACATTCTGGAAACCCTGAGAAGAGTAACCCTAACACAGAAGGTGTCTGTGAGTGGCCTGAGCCTCACCGCCAAGGCAGGGGAGGAGGGCCATAGGAAAAGCTGACTTCAGGTAAATGGGTGGAGAACCTGGTGAGTGGTTTGGCCACGTTGTCTTTCTGGAGCTAAGGAGAGGATTGCTCCATCTCCTGGCACTGCTCAGCAGTGCCTCTGTTTGTCAAAGAAATGTCCATCCACACAAACCCCTGTAGGTATCTCCATTCATTTGTCTCAGATGCTTGCTGTTGGAGAGGAAGCTTGGAATAGAAATATTTATTTAAAATTTTACAGAACTTGCCCTTTCTTAGCTCTTGTTTTTTGATTACCTTTTTGTAGATCTGTTTGGGGTCTGTGAAATCCTTGCTGCCTCTAAGTCCAAACTATTTGTTAGTCACAGTATGACTATTACTGTGGAACCTGTTTGTATAATCAGTGTTCTTTGCTAATTTATTAGCATCTGTGAGCAATATCCAAAGTGGATTTGCATTATCAGACAGGATTTAACATTTATCAGCTGGTTAGAGCCCACCAGCTGCTCTGTGGAAGAAAGATTTATAGCCTTGGAAACCCCATGCAGAGTCTCTATGAGTCAGAATCGACTCAACATACTTAATAACAACAACAGCAGATCTTAATTTATTTTCCAAAGACCTAGACTAACTAACAGCTTGCGGCACATCCCTTTTATTTTGAATGGAAAAATCCTTAAAAATATGACAAAGGTAATACAAGGTGGTATTTAAAAACAAACAAAAACCGTTTTTATTATGAGAAATTTCAAATGTCTATAAAAGGGAGAAACCATGTAATGAATCCCCACTGACCCATCTCCAACTTCAACATTTATTAGCATCTTGCTGTTACTGTAATGACAGTTATTTTTCATTTTGTTATGGTGAACCTATTTTTCCCACAAACTTTTTGAAGGCCCCTCATGTGTATATGTGTATGTGTTTGCCATTCCAACATTTTGACCATGTACAATTTAGTGTGATTAATTATATTCATGTTGTAACCATCACCACTGTCCATTTCTGAAATTTTATATAGAATGTTCGTATATTTCCTAAATGTGATTTATTTTTTTGTTGTTGAGAATGTACAGTAGCAAAACATGTACCACTTGAGCAGTCTATACATGTACGATTTAGTGACATTGATTACGTCTGAGTTGTGTGGCTTTCTTCACCTTCTTTCTCTCCACTGTTCTGCCCTCAGTAACTGTAACTTACGGCCCCTGAGTTTCCTGTCTCATCAGTTGCTGTTTTAGCCCTCAAGGCAGACTAGTAAGGCTAAACTGTTGTTTGGTTTTACGATGTGATTTCTGGTGATATTTTTGGTTTAAGGTTTCAAGTTAATCTCAGAGGGATAGTAGTTCCAGGGGTTCACCCACCCTCCACGGCTCCAGGAAGTCTACGGTCCATAAGAATATGGACTTCTGATCTGCACTTCTCCCCTTGGAGCAGGATTCTTCTATGGAATCTTTGATCAGAATAACAGAATTTTATTTCTAATGAAGAGATAAGGTTACATTTTAGAAAATGGCCATTCTGTCTTATCCCTGTGCAGTACATGAAATTTTAAAAATAAATTATGTGTATTGTTTTGCAGCCTATTAAAACACAAGAAAATATTATCAGACCTCTTTCTAGTCCAGGACATATACATATAAACCCTCTTCATTTGTTTCAACATCTATTTATTATTACATTGTATGGATGTCCCATAAATTATTTAACCAAGTCCGTGATGTTCTTGTTGGTAAGTGCCCTCAACAGACTGACTCATAGCAATTCTGTATAGGGTTTCCGAGCTGTAAATCTTTTCACAAGAACAGAAATCCTTACCTTACTTCCTCTATTGATATACACTTAAATTTCCCAGTTTTCCATTGGTAAAGATAATGCTACAGTATACTTCCTCTTTGTATTTTAGTCCAATGATTTCCTTGGAGTAAATTTCTAAAAATGTAATAGCTAGGTCAAAGGTTAAGTCCATTTACTATTTTGATCCATCGTCCCGATTGTCTTTTAGAAAAGGACAAGTTCTTTAGAACCATTCCAAACTGCAGTGAACATTGGTGACCATTCCTCCTCACACCATTGCTAAAACCAGCAAGGCCGCCTTCCTCTTTAGGTAGTGTGGTGTACTGAATTAGCTAACGTCTCTTCTAGTCTTAGTCTGTAAATCCCGCCAAACAACATTCCTGCCCTGCAGGTTTAGAGTAAGAGAAGGTGGGAGAAGATACTGATAGAATGACATGATTCAGCTGTGGATGTTAGCAGACTTAATTGTGATTGTAAAAACTTGAAACTCTAGCCTGGGTTTAAAATGAACCGTCTCAGAAGGGGGGAGGAGGAGGTGGTGGAAATCTCAACGGCCATCAAAGAAGAAGAACCAGAAGTGGAGTGCGTTCTCTGAGCCCTGAGATCCCTGGACATTGACCCTCCTGGGCCCAGAGACAGAAAGCTGTGATAGCAAAGGAGCGGCAGAGGAGCAGCAGCAGCAGAACCAAGACCCAGAGCACGAGACAGAGCAGGGGGCTTCGCAGCCCACAGAGCAAGTAAAACTGAGTGTCTTTGAGCAGGAGACTTGCTTGTAGAATGAGGTTCCTCCAGGCACTTATGGAGCTCTGATAGCGTAGTGGTTATGAATCGGCCTGTGAACTGTAAGGTCAGCAGTTCGAAACTACCAGCTGTTCCATGGGAGAAAGATGAGGCTTTCTGCTCCCATAAAGATGTACAGCCTCGGAAACCCTGTACAGGGTCGCTATGAGTCGGAACCGACTCCACGGCACACCACCACCACCTTGCACTAGGTTTGCTGATCCACAGAGCTAAAGATGAGTACCTTCTTGCTGAGGCTTATGGTGGAGTGGTGTGTCCTGTGGGCATTTTTCAGCAGCTGACTAGAACAACTGTGGCCTGAGCATTTCTGAGCTTGAATTGTAACTTGTTAGTTTGCCTAGTAAAGCCCATCACTCTGAGTATGGTGTCTGGGTTCTGTGTGGCATAATAGAGAAGTAGAGAGCGTACTGTGGAAGGAATGGTTTGATGCCACATGTCAGATATATTATTGCAGGTAGCTTGGAAACTCCTCTCATTTCACAAGAGTTTAACATAACAAACCTTTCAGAAACTGTACTTAACGTTTTAGTGGAAGATTTTTATTTCAAATATATTTCTTCACTTTTAAGTGTTACTAACACTCTTCACTAAGTCATTATGCCAATTTGCTAAGTCAGTCAAATATTCTGTACTGAGTAAGTTTAACTATGCAAGCGAATGGTCTTATTTTTCGCTAATATTGTCGAGAAAGACACTATTGCTTCCAGTTTTGTTTCTTTGCTGTTCTCGGTTGATAAGACTGATAGCATGTCAGAGGAGAAGCAGCCCCGTAGATATAAACTTAAATTGTTAGCCCCAAATTTCAGGTGGTGTTATGACCTTTGTATTTTGAACCTGATCTGGGTTTTCCAAATGAATTTTATAAAGAAAGAAAGAAAGAAAGAAAAAGTCAGCCCTTGAAACCTGGAAGAGATTTTAAAAAAATTAATTGCTAGCATATGTTGAAGATTATATAAAAACTAGTGGAACTGATGCAACCTTATTTCTCTATGTGGTGATGTGAAGAGCTATTTATATAGTTGTAAGATTGTAAGATGAAACTGTGCTCCTTCATTTGAAAATGATGCTTTCCTTTCACAGTAGTTAGAAATGATGCCGTTCCCTCTATTTTATTAATTATGAAACTATGCTGCAATTTTCTGTGGCTTATTCGTACTTGATCTTTGAGAGTCATAGAACCGTAGCTTCATTTTTTAACTATTTGATAACAGTGTATAAAAGAAAGATGTTACTATTGTGACCACATTGCTTGTATATTCTGGGGGCAGTTTAAACCTTTGAAATTAGAGGAGTTACAGAAACAAGCGGATGAGACAGGTGAATAGTGTTGGCATTACAGGCTAACTACAAGGTCAAGGTGAGGCTGCGAAGAGAGGGTTTAATGATTAACTTTGGGATTTCTGGTTCTTTCTTACAGGAAGCAGCTGGCGATCTTGGCTGATCTAGTGAAGGACTTACCTCTGGAATTTGACTTCCTCTTTTCACAGTCTCAGGCAGAAGTGATCTCTGGGAAGCAGGAAGGTACTGGGGCTGGGGGGTACGCTGGTTTACGTCTCAGTCAGTCACAGATTAACCTCCGTGGGTGTTTAGGATTACTTATATGTCTGATTTGTGAATGCAGCTTTCAGAAGTAATAAATACATGTTTTTACCCAGGGCTTTAAATTGCTTCAGAATGATTCAGTAATTTTCATTGTAAACATGGGCCATGCATGTATTGCATAGCAATCGGATCTGTTACCCAGAGGGTATTTTGACCCCAGAAGGCCTTCTGGTGTGGTGCTGTAGGATCAGCACTGGACTGTGAACCACAAGGTCAGCAGTTCAAACCCACCAGCTGCTCCTCGGGAACCCTATACAAGGGTTACTATGAATTGGAACTGACTCAATGGCACTTAACAACAACAACAACAGAAAACCAAAGCTGTGTTCCACGTACAGATGGCGGCCACCCATGTCACTCTGAATGTATGTTGCTCTCCAGAAGCCCTGCCATAGTATACTGTTGTTAGGTGCCATTGAGTCACCTCTGACCCATAGCGACCCTCTCTCTGCACAATAGAACAAAACCCTGCCTGGTCCTATGCCATCTTCACAGTTGTTACACTTGGGTCCATGGTTGCTGCCACTGTGCCAGTCCATCTCATTGGGGGTCTTCCTCTTATCACTGACCCTCCACTTTACCTAACATGATGTCCTTCTCCAAGGACTGGTCCCTCCTGATAACATGTCTGAAGTACAAGAGGTGAAATCGCACCATCCTGGCTTCTAACGCGTATTCTGGCTGTACTTCTTACAACACAGACTTGTTTGTTCTTCTAGAAGTTCATGGTACTTTTTAATATTCTTTTCCAAAACCGTAACTCAAATGTATCAATTCTCCTATGGTTTTCCTTATTCATTGTCAAACCTTCACATGCATATAAGACTAGTAAAGATACCATGGCTTGGGTCAGATGCACCTTATTCCTCAAGCTGACATCCTTACTTTTGAACATTTAAAGCGGTCATGTGCAGCAGATTTGCCTAGTGCAGTGCATCATTTGATTTCTTGACTGCTGCTTTCATGAGTAGTGACTGTGGATCCAATCAAAATGAAGTCTTTGACAACTTCAATCTTTTCTCCATTTATCATAATGTTATTTAGTGGTCAGTTGTGAGGATTTTTGTTTTCTTTACATTGAGGTGCAATCCATACTGAAGGCTGTGCTCTTTGATCTTTATCAGTAAATATTTCAGTTCTCTTTGCTTCCAACAAGCAAATTGGTATCATATGCACATCACAGGTTAGTGAGTCTTCCTCCAATCCTGGTGACATGTTCTTTTTCTTATAATCCAACTTCTTGGATTATTTGATTAACATACAGATTGGATAAGTATGTTGAAAGAATTCATCCCTCTCTTGGTTTTAAACCATTCAGTATTTCCTTATTCTGTTCAAATGACTGCCTCTTGGTCTATGTACAGGTTCCTCAGGAACACAATTAATTGTTCTGGAATACCTGTTCTACACAGTGTTATCCATAGCATGTCATGATCCACACAGCTGAAAGCCTTTGCATAATCAGTAAAACACAACTAAACAGCTTTCTGATATTCTCTGCTTTCAGCCAAGATCCACTGACATTGGCAGTGATATCCCTCATTCCATATAGAGGTTAGAATTTAAGATACATAAAATGGGAGGATAATTACATAATATCACAAAATATAGAATCGTCAGCTCAGATCACAAAATAGAGGACAACCACACAGTATTGGGAATCACGGCCTAGCCAAATTGACTCATAACATGAACCAGTCCAGTCAAGGACTCTACCTTTATTGCACTCACTCTGCAGTGTTGATACTCCCTGTTAGCTAATACTGTGTTGGGTTTGTATTTTTGGGGTGAAGTTGAATGTGTGGCCTCATAGGGCCCAAATGTAGATAGTATATTACATTTAAATGTCTTAGAAAAGAGAAGGAAAGCTCATATACTTTCTAGTTGCAGGGGACACAAGGGAAAACACACTTTTAATTTTAGTTTTTCATCTTTCAGTGTTAAAGTTTCCATTGGGCTCTTCTTTATATTCTCTCTTTGCTGAGACTTTCAGTCTCTCCCATTTGTCATGAAGGCGTTTGCTTGTATTTCTTGCTTATCATAGCTGCTTTACTATCTTCGATGATTCCAATATGATTCCAACTTGGAGTTGGCTTCTCCTGACTGTCTTTTCCATTTTTGAATTCATATTTTCCTGGTTCTTTATATGGCAAGTAATTTGATATTGTATTTGGAAAGTGTTTGGATATTACATTTTGAGGCCCTGGCTTTTGTTGATACCATAAGGAGAGTGTCTGGTTGGTTGTTTTATCTTAAGCTGGTAGTTGGTTTGGTTGAAGTCAGTTCTGAAGTTCTGACCCTTCTTCGGCAGGCTGTGATATTAGTGGTTTTCAAAGTCTTGGCCCAACTGAGACCTGGGCAGTGACCTAGCCTGTGGTCTAGTCTTAAAGCCTGTGCTATACTGTTTAGGGTCAGATCTATGCATGCTCAGGAATCCATGTACCACTTTATGGGAGAAGTCTTCTGAGCTCTTTCTTCCCCTTGCTCTTCTGACTGCCCTGGGGATCCTGTTCATGATCTGCTGGTGAGGAAGTTGAGGTTGTAGATGGCCCACTCTGCCATGTACTCCCACAGTTGTATCCATATCCAGGGCCATGTGATGGGAGGACACAAGGAGAAAAATAAGCAATGGGGATTTGCCCTACACTCCTGGGACCCAGTCCCTGTGGTCAGAAAGGATTCGTAACCGTGAGAGGTTTCTGTACCTGCGGTAGGAATGCTTTGGAGTTAGGAGGGCACCAAAGAAGATAACGAAGCAAAGTTAGCTCCACATCTATGAATTTTCAGAGTTTCCTTTTCTGCTTCTTAGACCAGAAAGGAAGACTTTGAAGTTTTCTGTACACACCTAGTACACACTTCCCTGTTTCAAGCTGTGTAGTGAGTATAGGCCAGACAATATCTGGGAGAAAAGGAAGGACTCACGACTTTTGATGGTATTTGCATTTCTTTCCCAGTGTACCCATGATACTTTACTCTTCAGAGTTATCAGAAAACTGCTCCCTGCATTCTAGCCAGTTTTATGTCTGCTTTCAGTGGAGAGAAAGAGTGGAGTGAACTTATTCTATATTGCTTGGAACCAGACCTGAAGGTTTTCAGTTTTTAACATTAGTTGTTACACATTAATTCCTATCCATTGCAGAAAATATAGAAATCAGAAAAGACAAATAATTTTTAAAAGGAAATTTTAAAAAATCACAGGATAAAAGATACAATGAGAGTATGATTGCCTGTTTCCAAGGAGACAGAGCAGCCTGGGGATAGGTGTGTACATGGTATCAGTTATAGAGAACTAAGCAGGAACTTTTGTGTTCTTACTCAGGGGTGTATGCGTGGATTGGAATCAACTTCGTGTTGGGAAGATTTGATCATGAGGATGGTGAGTAGTTTTTCTTAATCAGACATTTCTTTAAATAAAGAGCTGACAAGTCCTGACCTGTCTGTCAGTAGCACGTGTGCACTAAATGTGAGTTGTTTTCCGTTCTCAAAACTTAGAGTGCTTTATTATCCAACCTTCATTTGTTTTTATTTTCATTTTTAACTTTTCATATGTTGCTGAGAATACACACAGCAGAACATGTACCAATTCAACAATTTCTACACGCACATCTCAGTGACATTGAGGACATTCTTCAAGTCACACACCACTCCCTTGCCCATCTTTTCTGAATTTTTCTTTCCCCAACTAACATAAACTCACTTGTCCCTAAATAATTGCTGTTGTCATTTTAGAACATTCTTTAAAGAGCAAAATGCTCAAGGCAGACATTCTTTATTAATCAAGCTAAACAGTTACTTGGTTTGGACCCCTGGTATGGTGCTGTAGGATAAGAACTGGACTGCTAATCGCAAGGTATGCAGTTCAAACCCACCATCCGCTCCTTAGAAGCCCTATAAGTCAAAAGTGACTCGATGGTACTTAACAGCAGCCTTATTTGGTTTAAAGGAGACTTCAGGGGATGCTCTTGGTTTAAGGATTAATGCTTAAAGGTAATTTAGGGCAAACATTTTGGGGATTCATCTTGACATGGTGACTCTATAAAATTGGATTCCATGAGAATTTGAAGTTCCGTCCGCATTTCTCTCCACCCCTCTTTTGATCAGGATTGTTCTGGGCACCTTCCAGTTTTGCTCTCAATACAAGGAAGGTAATTTAGTAGTATTTTATGGTTCCATAACTTTCTAGTGGAATCCTGAGGTGGCGCTGTAGGATAAGCAAGCACACGACCTCAAAGTCAATTAGAACCACAAGGCCGGCAGTTCAGACTCACAGCCGCTCTTCTGAAATCCTATACAGGATTCCTGTGTATTGGACCCTTAACAACAAAGCTTTCTACTACAACAGGCTATATATTCCCCACTCAGCTTATATGTTTTCTAATATCAACCGGCATTTCCTAAGGAGTTTTGATTTTTTCAGTGGAGAAATGTTAGTTGGAGAGGCTAGTCTAGGTGACAGGGTTGTCATTTATTCTTAACCTTTCAGTGGACAGAGATGGAAAATAAAATGCGACTTCATAGTGGTGTCTCCAGTTCATTTTTTTTTTTTAAGGTTTTTATTGTGGATTGAGTGAAAGTTTACAGGGCACATCATCAGTTTCACATTCAACCATTCATATGACTTGTTTCATTACATTGATTATAATCCCCTCCATATATCACCAGTTAACAGTGTTTCTCTCTATCCTCTTCAGCTTTTTTTGGGGGCGGTGGGGAGGAACTTGCCTTTTTGGAATTTACTATCTCGGCTTTTAGGGAAGGTTTTTACATTTGTCTGTGGATATCCAGGGCTCATGTATGAGATTACTAACAAGCATAACTGAATAATCAGATGAGGGACAGTTTGCTATGTCTGCTAGGTGGCTAAAGTCTGATCCTCAGAGCCTATGGTTTGGACGGTCTGCAACGCTTGGGCCCACAGGGCCTTGAACTCCTGACCGGGTCTGCACGGTCTACATCCGTTTCCCCCTCCAGTTCATTTTAAATGACAAAGCTTTTGTTTAATACCTTTGATTGTTATACTTGTATCCTGTTTCTTCTACATGGAATCTTTGTTCATAAAGATGTTAACAAATATATCTATTTTAATCTATATATGTTTACTAACATTTCCAATCATATTATTAATGGTAAGATCTACTAGAATGCAGTTTAAGATCCTTATTTGTTTCGTTTCTCCTTAGGATATGTTCACTCCTACAGTCAAAATACCATGATGTTTTGTTTTTTAGTTGTTGTAAAATATATATAACATGTTATTAAGTTGCTGTTGAGTTGGTTCTGACTCATAATGACCCTGTATAGGGTTTCCAAGAAGCGGCTGGTGGGTTTGAACTGCTGACCTTGTGGTTAGCAGTCCAGTGCTTATCCTACAATGCTACACCAGGACTCCGTATATTTTATCATTCATTTTAAAACAGCATGTTTTAAGTCACTTGAGATAATTGTCTTCTGTGTACTATATGGTTGATACAGTTGGATTAATTTGTTTCATTCTCCTAAGGGATTGCTGTGCTTTGTTTTTGTCTTCGTTTTGACTTTTAAGTTTGGTTTTTAATAACTAGGATCCTTCTGTTCCTTCATTTCAGAATCAGATACTGAGGCTCCCCAGGAATTGGCAAATGGACGTAGAAGGACAGTCGGGATACTGGATATGGGAGGAGCCTCTCTCCAAATTGCTTATGAAGTTCCTACCTCAACCTCTGGTCTTTCTCCACAGCAGGTATTTTACCTTTTAGGGAAATGCAGCTGTCTAGGATTGCCAGTGCATGAGAGGAAAGGGCAGACTTAGACAACCTGCTGGGTTCAAATACTGGTTCAGACACATTTGTTCAGCTTGCATGTTCTTGGGTGGATTAGTTATCTGAGACTCCGTTTCCTTGTGCAGAAAGGGAAGGGATAATAATATCCATCCACTGCACAAGGTTGTGAAGATGGAATGTCACAACGGGGGCGACAAGCACTCGGTCGGTACACATGGGACTAGGTGTTCAGTTATTGTTGTCGTTAAGTGCCATCGAGTTGGTTCAACCCACAGCGACCCTGTATAACGTTTCCGAGGAGCAGCTGGTGAGCTTAAACCACTGACCTTGCAGTTCAAATGGCTTTGCAGTCTGAGTATTAGCCCACAGCGCCACACCAGGACTCCAGGTGTTCAGTAGGTTGGAGCAATTCTGATTATTCCACTGTCTCCGTTTTGCCAGGACTGAACATAAAAATACACATAAGTCGTGGAGCAAAGTATTTGATACTTACCTGGTGTTCAATGAATGCTGATTCCGTTCCCCTGAGCAACAGTTCCTTTCCTGTGCTTTTAATGTTTCTCACCTGCCTAGAATGTAAAAGATACATTCTGAGAAAAATGTTTCCTCATACAGAGCAAAGAGAAATGCAGACCTTTTTTTGAACACCTATTATGTGTTCAAAATGGATATGTTAGGCCAGTACCTAAAAGTTTGTAGTTGGTCAGTGGAGACAGCTGTGATATCAGACAGACTGACAATGCTGTAATTTGGTCCCACCCAGAGGTTCTCAACTTCACACTGTTGACATGTAGGCAGGAGAATGTTTTGCTGTGGAGGACTGTCTTGTGTGTTGCAGGATCTTTAGCAGCAGCTCTCTGCCCACTAGGGATCAGTAACATCCCAAACCCCTGAGTTGTGAGGATCAGAATGTTTCCAGACATTGCCAAATATCCCCTGGGGGGCACGGAGGGAGGGCGAATTGCCCTGACTGAGAACAACTGGTCTCAACGGAGGGGGTGATGGTGTGGGAACCAGCAGGGGCCGCTCCACTTAACTAAGGCTAGACGGGAGCCATGCCTCGTTATGAAAGGTGGCGTGTGTACCGGACCCCAGGTGATAACTGGCTTTGGCATAGCAGAGGCTGCTAGAAGGTGATATGCATGCAGAGAACAGACAACAAAGGTACGAATAAGAGGCAAAGGGTCCAGAGGTCCAGGGAATGGTGAATAGACCTGCTGCAGGACGACCCCCAAGTGTGGGAGCAGGTGGGGCTGGAGAGATACGATGGAGTTAAATTGTGAGGAATTGTGGGTGTTGTGCTAAGGGGTTTGGCTTTTTATTTCTGCAGTGTGTGGAGAACCAGCGATGGTTTTGAACAGGCAGTCACGTGCACCTCCATGCCATCCTCTATAAAACACTATAATTAAACACTGAAGGGCCTTCCACACTCTGAAGATTACAACTATCATCTGATTTTTAAAAAAAATTTTTAACTGTTACCAAATGAAGTTTTTATTCTCTAGTTTTGATGACTATAAATAAGTGCTTCCACTATGGAAAAGAAAGTTAGCACAGTACATTTTCATGACGGGGAATGGATTTTCTGAAATCATCTTCAATAGACAAAAACTCCAAAAGAGAGAGAAAAAAAAAAACCCAGTCTGAATGTTGGGAGTTCGAACAGCTTTATATAAAGTCCCTAGTAAACAAAACAATAAAAATAAATATAAAAGAAGGGACTGGATGAAAAAAAAAACACAAGAAAAAGAAATTAGAAAAAGGAAAAAGAAAATAAAATTAAGACCATTTATTGCTTCTCCAACATAGAGAAGCCAAAGCAAATGGAAAAATTGAAGAGGTACAAGAGCTGAACAGAAAATTTCAAAGATCAGCT